CTCGTGCGCCGGGGGCAGCTTGCTCTGCAGGCTCTTGAGGTGCCGTAGGTCGGGGCCGATGAGGCCATTGAGCTGGCGGTGATGGTGGTGATGGCGGCGGTGGCCCTTGGGGCCCTCTGAAGCGTCGTTCCCAGCCGGCGTGTCGTCCCGACCTTCCTCCTCCTCCTCTCCGCTGTCGTCCTCCTCCTGCTCCCCCGGCAGGGCCAGGCCGGCCCCGGGGTAGTGTGAGAGCACGCCGGGCCCAGTCGGTACGTCCGCCATCCTGAGCAGAGACAAACGGGCTCCTTATAGACACACAGCGCGGGCCGCCCTCATCACCGGCCCGCACACGCACCGTCTCACCCGCGGCCGTAAAGCGCTGCCGCCGGCACACAGCTTTTTACGACACTTCCGGCAGCGCTGGGCCAGGGCCTCCGGGCGGTGGGGGGAAGTCGGCAGTGGTAGACTCCTCCTAAGTGTCATGGCAACGTCAGGCTGCCTCACTGCTGCGGCGCTGCTAGGCCCCGGATCCTCCAGGAGGGCAGGCTGGGACTTGTAGTTCCCTTCAGTGTCATTTCCGGGGACACTTGTCATTCAGGGCCTGAAAATGGCAATCTATGTCACTCTGAAGGTGTTCCACTTCAGAAACAGGGACGGCCTGATAATGTACATATGAGTGTTGAAAGGATACAATCCTGCTAATAAAAACATTTTTCTTAGCCTTTTGCTATTCGTGTTTGAACGTTTTATTTTCACTGAAATGTATTTGAATATTTCGTTTTTGATGGCCCTATATTGTCCCTCTCCTTGGGACATTTTTTTTTTTTTTGGCACTATGCTTTTGCTTGGATGACCTCATACTAAGATAACCAGATTTTTAAAATGAAATACAGCAACATTTTTTTTTAATTGGCAAATGGTAAAAAAATATTAGCATATTTTCCTCAAATTCTATATGTAGTATATGGAGTGATTGTATGATATAGACAGGGCTTAAAAAATCCGCTCGGCTGTGACGAGAGGACCCCGGTGCCAGGCGAGTAGCTTCCCGACCGGCCGTTTTAATTAAATAGCCGGCCGGGAGCTTCAGATTCAAGTGATCGGGCGTTTCTAGAGACGCCCAATTGCTTGTATTAGCAGCAGCTGTCACTGCCGTTGCCGGTCCTGAGATCCGCCGCGCCCAAGTGACTGGTGCCCAATTTACTTTTCACATCCCACAACCTGGCTAAGGATCCATCTCTGTACACTGGCAAGTTGTGATTAACTCCAAATACATGCGTCGTGTATACTTTACAAAAAAATTGCCGCAAGGTGCTACAGTGTTCGGGTTTGGCTTGAAGAAAAGGTGGCAACCCTACTCTGAGAGTGAAATGTCAGCCCTTCCTGCCTCTTGGGTTAAACACGTGCCCTTGGGGCTCAGGGGACGCTACACATGGCTTCTGATAGCCCACCATAGAGAGTCTCAGATGGGCTGTGCAGCATGTATGGTGTGCTCTGCAGGGTCACTTTCAGGTGGGGTCTCAGGTGGGTCCTGTGTCCAGCACGTTACTAAGCCCTGAGTCCAGCGGGTCACTAAGCCCTGAGTCCAGCGGGTCACTAAGCCCTGAGTCCAGCGTGTTACGAAGCCCTGCGTCCAGCGCATTACTAAGCCCAGAGTCCAGCGGGTCACTGAGTCCTGGGGGTCACTAAGCCCAGAGTCCAGCGGGTCACTGAGTCCTGGGGGTCACTAAGCCCAGAGTCCAGCAGGCCACTAAGCCCAGAGTCCAATTCATATACTGTTCTCCATTGCTGTATAAATGTATTGCTGGGATTTGTAGTCCCCCTACAGACGGTGCCATTCTGCATTACAGTGTAAGCTCCTCTGTACAGAGACTGATGTGACTGGCTCAGTGTTCTCTGTACAGCACTGTGGTATATGTCAGAGCTATATAAATGTATAATAATAGTGTGTGACTGTGGGGGGACATTAGGGTGTAAACTTCTCTGTGGAGAGACTGATGTGACTGGCTCAGTGTGGCGGCGGTGGGTGGGGGCAGGCCTAAAGCTGTGTAAGGGGCTCCAACATTTCTGATGGCTGCCCTGCAGGTAGGTGCTTAACCACTTGCCGTCCGCCCGTTGTAAAAAAACGGACGGATGGCACTGCAGCATTGGCGGGCTGCCGTCGCCAGACGGCATTAATTCATTTCAGTACAGCGCTGCATGACGGAATAAATGTCAGTCAAAGTACCGCAGCGCTGAATACTGAAAAATGGCCTGGCCAGGAAGGGGGTTTAACACCGCGGATGTCCACTGGTTAATAGAGCAGAACACCTAGGAATGGCCAATTGATCACAAACTATAAATCAGCCATACTGATTAAAGTTCTAGCAACATTAAATTTAAAAAGCCACTCCACTTAGGGTAAAAGAGCTACACATGGTTGAATAGAGGCGGGGGGTGGGCATCTATTGTCTGCCACATAGAATGCTGTTTTAACACCTCTCTCTGGGCAGCTTAATAACACCTGCTAGCTCCAATCGTGCAAATACAATCAACACCTTACCTTCATGAGGTCTCTGACCCCATGCTGGTTCCGATAAACAGATTATGTTGATTGGAGCAACATTCACCATACTTATTCCCATAGAATTTCTGTACAAGTCATTCTGAATTGAGAAAGCTGGTCGGATGACCAGCAAAAGGTCTTCAAGAATACAGCAAGTTCAGTTGCCTTGATTTATTTTTTACAGATATATAAACATGGTGCTGGATGTTTTTGCTGACATCATTGACCTTATATGGCTAAATGGTCAATGATGTCACAGCTTCCTGCCCCTTTGCTTACATACAGGTGCAGGCAGGAAATTGTCCAGCTGCAGCTGATTGGGCGGCAGTGGAAGGAGCTTCCTTCCTGGGTAAAGCTGGCCATACACCTTACAATTATCTGCAGATTTTCTGTGGTCAGATGGAAAAAGTGCAACAGATTGGCCCAGGTGGAGATTACTCCATCCACACAGTTAAGTGTAGATGGAGGAATCTGTTGCACCTTTTCCATCTGACCACAGAAAATCTGCAGATAATTGTAAGGTGTATGGCCAGCTTAAGAAAAGCTCAGGTTCGGAACTGCTTTGGTCTGAACTTGAGCTCATCCCTAGTAACAACAAGTACTTTTACTTACCTGATCGGCTTTCAACTCCCTCGGGGCCATAACGTATGATGTAGGGTTTATTGGCCCTGCATTGTACTTGCCTGCGACCACTTTATAGAAGAGGCTGAGGGACCCAGTTGCATACCATGAAGTGAGCCTGCAGGAGTGAGGGTTGTGGGTACCCTGGGAATAAATGTGCTTTTAAACCTTGTAGTGAAAGGGAATTTTTTTTTCTTTTTCCTGGAGTGCAGCTTTAAAACCATAATAATGATATTAATAAATATAATATAAATTAAAATATAAACAA